GCTCCCGCCCGCGGCCCGCGCGCTGCGCACTGGGCGCGGTTCCATTTTGAAAGATCAAAGCAATTGATGGGGACCCAAGTCACCGCACCTCACACTTACAAAGTCCTCTCTCCCCCCTCCCGGTGGGGGTGGGGAGATAAACCCACAGAGAGGCGGTAGAAGTGGCTGATTCATGCCACGCGCTCAAGGGGATCCTGTTGGGTGATGGGGGGCAGGTGCTGAAAGTAGGAAGAGTTTCAGCTCCACAAAGCTGCTACTCATGTCACTGGGTCCCCCCCACATCAATCAAGCTGGTGGCCCGGGCAGAGTGGGGCCAGGTGTGGGCTGGGGGGGGCGATTAGCAGAGGGACCCACCCCTGAAAAGGGACAGATCCCATCCTGACTGCAGCCCTGGCACCACAGGGCTGGCTGGTGGTCAAGCTCCCCTGCAAACGAAGTCATGAAGTCACCATCATTCCCCTGGAGCCGTTTCAAACCTAGGACTCCGGGATCCTGAGATTCGGGGTGCAGTTGGCTCTATAACCATACTTTTCCTGCCTGGCGGGTAATGGTTCTCCCGGCATTCTTCCTCTATCAGACACTGTCCTGCTTCTCAAAAGTAAGATACACTCAAGGGTGAGAACTCGGGTAAATTTCCACTCATGGGAGCTTGATAAGGGAAAATAAAATCATAGTGTCTAAATCCTAAATGCTCCCCCCTCTGGCAGTGGCCATTTACCTTCGGGGAACTAGAGGTGAGAGCGATGGGGGCCCCGTGGCTAGCTGGTCGGGTCCAGTAGAGACGAGACGACAGACCTGTGNGAGCGATGGGGGCCCCGTGGCTAGCTGGTCCGGTCCAGTAGAGACAAGACGACAGACCTGTTCTGTTCAAAAGGCTGCGGCACTCGCCGGCCCGCAATCTGAAGCCACCTCATTAAAGTCGGTGCTTAAAGGTTTTCGAGGAGTTGAGGCATTTCTACCAGGCATCAGGCAGCCAACATGTGAACATGAAATTCATTTATCTGAATGAAACCAATTGCCCACCCAATGTTACCCAGCAGGGAACAGTCACCTGGGGGTAGGGGCGTCAGATATTAAGAGAAGAGATTATTTTAGCAACTTGTTTTGGGGATGCAAGACAGGAGCAGGTCCCCAAAGGGGCTTTCGGTCAGGCTGCGCACCTTGGATGACCCCTGTCTAAACATGGAAATGCAGGAAAGCTGATAATATCGAGCAAGGGTCAGAAACTTCCTGTGGTCCACGCACTGTCCCAAGGGTCTACACTCGCCGAGGAACACCACCATGAGGCAAACACTGATTACCAGCCCGCTTTACAATAAGAAAACGTACGTGCCAGGAGGTTACCTTCACCCAACAGCAGGAGCACTAGACCGGCAGAGACCACAGTTTGAGTGACGGCCCATGACCTTATCCAATACAAATGTGTCCCCCTCACAGGGTCCCATTTTCCACACCTTTAAAGTGCAGAATTTAAGCAAAAAAATTTTTTACGCCTGTTCCACCTGTATGAGTCTTTGAGGTCACTGGAGAGACTTGGGGAAGGAATTGTGAGCAAGAGGGATGCTTATTGCCGAATACATACTTCAACCACATGGAAGGGTAGGGAATGACAAAGGATGACAGTCTTCTTTCTGCCCCACACCATACCTATGACTTTTCCCTAGTGTTAGTGGGATTTTGATTAAGTCAGAGAAAAGCAAATTTGGGGAAAAGAGGGAAAGGAATAGCCTTTCACTGAGTTATGCTCATCAGAAAGGGAGGAAAAAAATATTCTTCAAAAAAAGTTTCTGAAACATGATTTTGTTTCATTTTAGAAACATTTTACAAATTGAGCGTGTATTTGAAGGCCGATAAGGATATAACTTCGCTTCATTTTAGGGCCATAATAATCGTTGGAGCTAGAAAGACCTTCAAGATCATCTAGATTAGAAGTTTCCAAATTTTTTTAGCAACAGAGTATTATATTTCAANGGATATAACTTCGCTTCATTTTAGGGCCATAATAATCGTTGGAGCTAGAAAGACCTTCAAGATCATCTAGATTAGAAGTTTCCAAATTTTTTTAAGCAACAGAGTATTATATTTCAAATAACATCTTCTAAGGGATGTGGATGGTTACCACAGACTTCAAGCCTGCGGGGCGTGGCTCAGCAGCTGAGCATCGACCTAGGATCCAGGAGATCGTGGTTTGATTCCCGGTCAGGGCACATGCCCGGGTTTCGGGCTCCATCCCCAGCAGGGGGTGAGCAGNCAGGCCCGGGTTGCGGGCTCGATCCCCAGTAGGGGGCGAGCAGGAGGCAGCCGATCAATGACTCTCATCATTGATGTTTCTCTCTCTCTCTCTCTCCCTCTCCCTTCCTCTCTCTAAAATCAATAAAGATATTTTTTTAAAAAAGTAAAGAGAGCCCTGGCCAGTGTGGCTAAGTGGTTAGAGCACTGGCCCATGGACCAAACCGTCTCGGGTTTGATTCCTAGTCAAGGGCACATACCTCAGTTGCAGGTTTGATCCCAGCTCCGGATGGGGCACATGCAGGAGGCAACCAACCGATGTATCTTTCTCACATGGATGTTTCTCTCTCTCTCCCTCTCTGCACCCCCCCCGACCCCCTCGCTCTAAAAAAAAAAAAAAAATCAATGGAAAAAATATCCTTGGGTAAGGATTAACAAAAAAAAAGTAAAGACAGAGCTGCCCTGGTTGAATGGGGCAGGAGAGTAGTTAGTTCTCAGGGACAAAGGCCACCTCTGCCTTCTGAGCTCATCCCTGGGTGACCAACGCTCCCACTTCCCAGCTGAGGACTGAGGCCAAAGCACTGAGACATCTTAGGTCCGTTGCTCCCATCCAGGGCTCTTTCTAAACCACATCAGGAAAGCTTGTCTTCTCTCTGCCAACAAAATATCACTCCTTGTAGCTGTGCCGTCATTCTGTCCCTCAGGTTTTGCTCTCTCTTTATCTACTGCAGACAGGGTGTGCCTGATCACTGCAGCAACGTGACAACCCCGATTTCTCCTGGAGCTCTGCTCAGAGGCAGGCACAAAACAGGTGCAAACCCACCGAGAAACAAAAGGTCTAAGAAAATGCAAAGCCACTCGCAGTGTTCCTCTGGAGGTTAATTTCCACTGTGATTTCCTAACCCAGCTTTTTGAGTTAGACTTTCTAGGAAATCTTATGTGGTCAAACATGACTAAATATATATAAACATGCATGCACGCATACATACATACATACATACATACATACCTATGACTGCCAATTTCAAACAGTCCCCCAAGGAGACATATAGCAACTTAGCCTCAGTACTAGCCAACCTCTGCATCGTCAGCACTAAGTATCATAAGATCAGAAAGAAAGTGAGCTCCCTGTCCCTGGCAGAGTTCAAGGAGAAGATGGACGACTGACAAGGGAGTAAGAATCAGGCTTTGCAGGCATGAGAATGACCCCTGAGATCCCTTTTGCCTCTAAGATTTCGTGATTCAATAAAAATTACAATAACAACAACTATTACCATTACCAGTTAGCGCCATGCTAAGCAGGCTGCTCATTGCATCCTCAACAAAATGCTTCAGAAGAGTTCATGATGCTCTCGTAAAGATACGAGAAACTCCCAAAGGTTGGGTCGCTTTTGCAAAGACATCCAGCTAATAAGTGGCGGAGCCAGGTTTTAAAATCAGATCAGAAAATAAATAAATAAATAAATAAATAAATACATAAATAAATAAATAAATAAATAAATAAATAAATAAAATAAAACCAGACTCAAGTGCACTGCTCATGTCTTTTTGTTACACCACCTCCCTGCAAAGACAAGTAAAAGGGCATATGACAGAGAGAGGGGGATGGCAGGAGCGCAGGTGGAGGGGTCACTAACACTGGGGGGAAATCAGGAGGGCTACCTAGTGGAGGTGACGCCTGGACTGAACCTTGAAAGTGGATGAATGGAGTTACTTACATGAAGGTGATGGAGGCGGGGG